GTTTATTTATAATGGTTTTTAGCCTTTTTTGACTGTGACCCAGAGAAACAATATTTTACAGCATGACTTGATTTTCGTGTGTATTTGTGTCTGTACACACATAAATGTTATTGATTTTTTTGTAAAAGTTTAACAAAATTATATTCATCATGTGATGTACTCATATCTTTCTCTTCTAGAAATAAATACTTGTTGAGATTAAATTAATACATTGTGACCTGTGGTTTTAAATATTGCTGTAGGGTGTATTGTGTGTGTAAGAGTGTATATGTGCACATTGATATGTCATATTACATATATAAGTTGATAAACCTGTATGTATGTGTGTGTAAGTGCATGTGCTTTAGAGAGAGAGAGAGAAGAGAGAGAGGAGGGAGGGAGGATAAGATTGCCTGGTAGAAGGATTTATTCTTCTAGAACTTTACTAGGTTTCACCAGATTGTTTTTAAATAGTCATACCTGTTTATTCTTGGCTTGGCCTCCTGAGTCTGGGAACTTTGTGTCTATGGTCTTTTAACAGCATTTATTTGGCACAGAGTTGGCAAGTACCCACTGAACAGTTTGGTGAATGGAAAATGAGAATTTCATACCAATAAATGAACGACTGCCATGTTGAGCGTCTATTGTTTTATCAAGGCAGTTTTAGGTAAATTTGCCAGGCTAATATTTTAGAATGAATAATCCATTTGTAATTTCAGTTAGATTTTTAAAAATCTATTTTTGGGGGTTCCTAACGATATTGTTAAGATATGATAGCTAATTCCAAAGAAAGATGCATTGACAAAATTATATTATTATTTCAGTAGGTAAAAGTGGGGCTTAAGTTTCCCATAAGTGATAGCAAAAAAATTTTTTTTTCCTTTCAGGAGTCAATAAAATGATTTTTGTAGCCTTAGGTTTTATTACATAAAACCTAAACTTCATCTAACATTTAATTATAGCTAGCTTTTGCTCAATAGTAATATAGCCATTTTCTTCTCTTACTGCTAACACTATAGTTACATATGCTTTTATATACATTAATCTCTTTATTATCTTTGGGTATAGTAAAAATGCACCACTGTATTGTGTACTGTAGCTTTTTACCTGCTTGGACAGTCACTATAACATTTTGCTAATGACGCTTCCCAATTCATTCATTCAATCATAATGTTTGCTACATCAGAAAAATTGTGCTGTAAGAAAAATCTCCATTTGTATTTGACTTATGGGTCCCTTAGCAGATATTCTGAGGGGAATCATTCTATTTTGAGAACAGAAAATCCAAGCTGCACTTGGATTGCATTGCAAATCTTTTGTTTTCACATTGTGCTTTTGACTCACTGCCTTTTTGGAAATTGTTTTTTAAGGAAAGTTAAGATACACTTGTTTTGCAGACCAATATAGAAACTTTTCAGAAAAAGAAAGAAATAATTTCTTATGACAATAATTTGTACTTGTTATTACTTTAAAACTTTCAAAATATTTTTAAAAAATTTTCAATTACAGTTAACATTTTATATTACTTTATGTTTTATATGCAACATAAAGGTTAGACATTTACATAATTTATGAAGTGATCCCTACTGATAAGTCCAGTACCCACCTGGTGTACCATACCTGGTTATTACAGTATTATTGCTGTACTTTATGTCTCTGTGACTGTTTTGTAATCACCAGTTTGTACTTCTTAATCCCTTTGCGTTTTTTCACCCACCCTCCCCAGCCCCACTCCCATCTGACAACCATCAGTTTGTTCTCTGTATCTGCAAGTCTATTTCTGTTTTGTTTGTTAGTTTGTTTTCTAGAGTCCACATATATGTGAAATCATATGGTATTTGTCTTTCACTGTCTAACTTATTTCAGTTAGCATCCATGTTGTTGCAGATGGCAAGATTTCATTCCTTTTTATGGCATTTTCTTTATCCATTCACCTTTCTATAGACACATAGATTTCTTTCATATCTCGGCTATTGTAAATAATGCTGCAGTGAACATAGGGGTGCATATATCTTTTCCAATTAGTGTTTTGGATTTCTTTGGATAAATACCCAGAAATGAAATTGCTGGGTCATGAGGTAGTTCCATTTTTAATTTTTTAAGGAACCTCCATACTGTTTGCCATAGCGGCTGTACCAATTTGCAATCCCACCAACAGTGCAGAAGTGTTTCCTCTTTTCCACATCCTCTCCAACACTTGTTTGATTTATTGATGATAGTCATTCTGACAGGTGTGAGGTGATATCTCATTCTGGTTTTTAATTTGCCTTTCTCTGGTGATAAGTGACACCGAGTATCTTCTTATATGTCTTTTGGCCATCTGTATGTCCTCTTTGGAGAAATGTCTGTTCAGGTCCTCTGCCCATTTTTTAATCAGATGGCTTGTTTTTTGAGTGTTAAGTTGTATGATATCCTTCTGTATTTTGGATTTTAACCACCTTTATTTTTTTAATTGAAGAAATTATTTTAATTTTTTCCCCATCTACTGCCCTCTCCCCCACACCCCTCCCCTCTAGTAGATATTAACCCTTTTTTAGATATATCATTGGTGAATATCTTCTCCCATTCAGTAGGTTGTCTTTTCATTTTCTTGATGGCTTCCTTTGCTGTAGTCCCATTTGTTTATTTTTTTCTTTTGCTTCTCTTGCCGAGGAGATAAATCAGAAAAATTACTAAGAGTGATGTCAGAATTGACTTCCTATGTTTTCTTTTAGGAATTTTATGGTTTCAGGTCTTACATTTAAGTCTTTAATCCATTTTGAGTTTATTCTAGTATATGGTGTAAGAAAGCGGTGCAGTTTCGTGTGTGTGTGTGTGTGTGTGTGTGTGTGTGTGTGTGTGTGTGTGTATCCAGTTTTCTCAATGGCATTTATTGAATAGACTGTCTCTACCTCATTGTATATTCTTGCCTCCCTTGTCACAGATTAATTGACCATATAGTTGTGGGTTTATTTCTGGGCTCTCCATTCTGCTTCATGATCTGCATGTCTGTTTTTATGCCAAGATCATAATGTTTTGATTTCTGTAACCTTGTAGTATAGTTTGATATCAGGTAGTGTGATACCTCCAACTTTATTCTTCTTTCTCAAGATTTCTGTGGCTATTTTGGGGTCTTCTATGGTTCCCTGTCAATTTTAGAATTATTCTAGTTCTGTGAAAAATGTCATTGGTATTTTGATAGAGATTGTATTGAATCTGTAGATGGCTTTGCATTGTATAAACATTTTAATGATGTTAATTCTATCCATGAGCATGGCTTTTGCTTCCATTTATTTGTGTCTTCTTCATGTTCTTTCTTCAGTGTCTTATAATTTTCTGAGTACAGGTCTTTTATTTCCTTAGTTAAATTTATTCTAGGGGTTTTTTTTTTTGATGCAATTATAAATGGGAGTCTTTTTGGTAGAATCTCTAGGGTTGTCTACATATAGTATTATGTCATCTGCAAGTAAAGACAGTTTACTTCTTCCTTTCCAATTAGATGCCTTTTCTTTTTCTTGTCTGATTGTTGTGGCTAGGACTTCTCAAAATGTTTTCTATACAAGTCTCACCTAAGTAACGAGTACAGCCAATCCTAATTCCATTTAACAGGTGAGAACTTTGTTGCTCAGTTTGCTACTGGTTCAGTGTAATTTATACAGCTCAAAAGTGGCAACGTAGTTGACAGTACATTTTTTTTTGGCTTCTGATTCATCTTGACACTTGTAGCAATCAAACAAATATTCAAATAGAGCATGTCCCAGATATTTGTTGGTTTTTAGGTGTAATTTCTAAATTTAAAAGCAGGACATTTTGGCATAAATTGTGTATATGCATACCCTACCACCTAAGGAATGAGGTGGGGGATAATTTTACTGCATTATAATTACTGGCTTCAGTGTTATTTTGTAGATTGATGCTCACCTTTAGATAAAAAGTATGCACCTAAAACAGAAGCCTAAAATTTAAAAAAAGTTGATTTTTATTGCTATCTCTTACTGTATATATGTTTTTATAATCAGATGATTTAGATTAGATCATTTGATTATAAAAACATATATACAGTAAATCAGTTAGATATAAGTGTCTGAATATTTGACATAATTCCCAGATATTACTTTTATTTTTTCATTGTTACTTTAATTATGCAAGCAATATGTGAAAATAATAACATTAAAAATTATCAAGAAAAAATATTCAAAGATATGAAGAATATAATACAGCTAAGGCTCTTATATACTTATATGAGTTTCTCCACAGCATTTTTCAGAATTTTTTGACCATGACCCAAAGTACTAACATTTTCTAGCACACCTTAGTTCATCTGTTAAATTTCTTAATCTCAGGGTTGTATTTGAGTTTAATCTGATCTAAGGCTTCTTGAGGCAGTCTTTGTTGTTTCTCATCTTTGCCAACACTTAATAGATTTAAAAATTTTTCAATGTGTCGAACGTAAAATGGGGGTTGTTATAGCTTTACAGGGCATTTCCCCTAATTACCAGTCAGATTGTGTATGTTTTTATATGTTTATTGGCTATATATTTCTTCTTCTGTGAATTACCCATTTATACCTTTTTGCCCATTTTTTAAATAGGTTGGTTGTCTATTTCTTACTAACATCTACATTTCATTTTTAAGACTCTCTTTGATTTTTATTTGTTGGTAATCTTTAAACTACACTACACATTTAGTAAAGAACTTATTTTTTACTGTAATTTTATACTACTGGTTCACATATGCCGAGTGAAAAAACTTCACATAAATTAATTTTAAATTCTTAGATTTTGGAGAAGTTTTCTAGGAAAGCAAAATTAGTAAACTCATTAAGGTTCTTCTTGCAGGTTGATTTATAATGTTTCAGCACAGCCAAGACACGTGTCTTCTTAGCAAGCTGCTACTAGTGCCATTTGAAAATTTAAGCATGTAAATTTTGTAAGCATCCATTATAATAGTATAAAAAATGAGAATGATGTTTAATTTGTGTGTTGTCATGATATTGATTGTAGTTTTTAATACTTGGCTTTTTTTTTCTTCTCCTTAATTAGGTCCCCGATGGGCTTCCTGGAATATCGGTGTGTTTATTTGCATCAGATGTGCTGGAATTCACAGAAATCTTGGAGTTCATATATCCAGGGTCAAGTCAGTCAACCTAGACCAATGGACACCAGAACAGATACAGGTAAACATATCCATACTGAAAAATTATTAAAAATGTTTAAAATAAATTTAAAATCTTTAACCTTTTTTGCACCGGGGATTGATATTGAAAAGGAGTATGTTAAAATGGTATGTGCCACATATAAAATTTGAGTGTTCTTTGAATTGTAAATAGCAGTGTTTATTTCTTCTTGGGTCTATAGTAAAGTCAGATTTTAATCTATTTTTATCTAAAATGTTGATTTTTGAGGTATTTAAAAAATTAATTCCTTTTTCTTGCATTGATGAAATTTGCCAGTAAAATTCCATAGTTTCTTTTGTTTTGTGGTCAGTAGAGGGAGCCTGGATAAAGATAAAGAATAAACTACCTCTCATCTAAAAACTAACTTTCAAGATTTTCTTTATGTACAGAGATGCTCTTCATTTGCAGGCAAGGCCTAATATTTGGAAGAAAGTCAAGCTTGCAAATGTTCTAATGACTAATTTGGACTTGTCTTGAAGGTTTTAGCTTTGTTAGAGATAGATTTGTAATTTTAAGCGTTTGCCATTTTTCCAGTATGACAATTTTAAATTCTCAAAAATCATGCTTTCTAACCTTTAAGGTTGACGCTAATGTAAAAACGATTATTACTACTGGTTTTATTTTATAATTCACAGTGAAATTACACTACTTTTTCTTATCCCCTTTTCAGAGAACTTTTAGTTAGTACGTAAGCTAAATATGCAAATATATATAGTTGAACCTAATGATATTACAATCAGAAAAAACAAAAATAACACAAAAATTGAGATGTGAGAGTAAGAGTAGAAAGAATAGAATAGAATTCTGAGGGGGAACAGGTCATCAAAAAAGATATATAGATTTGGTTAAAGAAACTAAAACTTCTATACGGAGGACATATTTATACCAAAAAATTCTAGATGGAGCAAATATTTTTAAGTATTGTTAAAAATTAAACTTCAAAAATACTCAGAAGAAAATAGAAATCTTCAGATTATAAAGACGAGCATAATTTATTTCATTCAGTTTTAAATAAATTTTTGAGCTTTTTCCTGACTAGGGCGTAAAAGGAAATATGATACTTTATGTATTCTCAAGATCCTTGTTATATCAAGGAAGCAGAGCATTTTATTATAAGGCAGTGTTCTTAATATCATCTCTGTAGTAACTGTGGTAGCAAATTTCAGGATGTCGTTTCTTAAGTTGTCTTCAAGAAAATGTGAAGTGTAGCTTGAAAATGTAACTTGGCATTTGTAATGGATTATGTAGGTACAAACATTCAGAACCCAAAGTGTATTTCCTTTTTAATGATTTATTCTAAACTAAGGAAAAAATGTGCAATCCCTGGACAATTCATTTCTTGAGAAATATTATTTTTCTCAACTAGACTGTTGAAAGGAGTTGAACAGCAAGTTATTTGAGGTGGGCATCTGTACTTTTCTTATAGCTTAGATCAGAACTTCCCAGGGGGCTGCATTTTACTGGTTTTCTGTGGAATAGTTTGCAGGTACATAGTAAGATACTACCGTGTTATTAAAAATGTGAGGATTTTGAAAACAATTGTTAAGTGATAGCTTTTGAAATTGTATTTGAACACTATTTGTATGGTTCCAACTAACAACTTCCTGAAATGAGAATTGTTTTGGAATGCAAAACTTTTGATAAGTACTTGTCACCAGAGAATTCTCTGCATAGCTCCATATACCACAGAGCTCCTCTTCCAGGTTTTCCTGGACGCATTCACTTAAAAAAACCACATGAGTAGACAGTCAAGTTTTACTTAAAAAAAATAGACACAGATGTACCATCCAGTATTCTTATAGTAGGCTTCGTGAGTAATCACAAGGAAGCCAGAGCTGTTCTTTAAAAATCATTCTGGGACTATTGTGCAATATAAATCAGCATGTAAATGGTGAAGACCCCAAGATTCCATACTACAGAACACAACCTTTATTTTAGCCTAGAAAACTTCAAGGGAACTGATTCTAGAGAGGCAGTAGAACAAAGTGATTAAGAAAGTTAAGTTGTCCCTAGAGTCAGACTGCCAGACCTAGACCTGGGTGGTTACAAGTGGATATTTGACTTCACATGCCTCAGTTTTTTCATTTGTGCAGTGAAAATAATAATAGTGCCTACTTCTGTAGATTGCTGTAAGGATCAAATAACTTAATATGGATAAAGTGTTGAGAACAGTACCTAGCACATTTTAAACACTCAATAATATTAGCTTGTCAGTTATTAGTATTAGTCCAGTTTTTCATTTTATGAGACCCTCAGTATTGCTGCCTTGAATATCTTTCTGATCTTAAGCAGTTTCTGGTGAATCTACTATGATAAATTGGTTGCTAAATGTACTACTGAGTAAATAAACAAATTGATTAATTGTGTGATGTTATTGAGTATAAATGAATTACTTTTTAAGAATATTTGTGAAAAACAATTAGTTTATTTTTAGTAGTGTTGGATGTTAAGGCATTTTGAGATGAATAGTTAGGTAATCATATCAGTTGTCTATTGAGGTTGCTCCTTATTCAAATTTAAGCATATCTTGTTTCCTGAGGTGGTAGATATGTTCCGTATAATCCGTCTCTATGCTTTGGCATTCTGTCTATTTGCTTGTATAAAATTGATGTATAATAACAAAGAGAAAAATTTACAAACATAAGTGAGTTTTATGTGTCTTGGCAGATGTCTATACTGTGTCACCAACACCCCATTCAAGATAATGCAGAGCATTTCCATCACCCTAGAAAGTTTCTTTGTGCCAGTCAGGTATTCCAGGGGCAACCACTGCACTGATTTCTATACCCTTTGGTTGCTATACATTGGAATGTTTATCTTTTGGAGTTCATTCTTATTAACTCTGACTCAAGTCAGATTAGAGAAGGTAAAGATCACAATGTGATTTAGTGTTCCTTATTCATATGGTATTTTATAAGAATTTCTTTGATATAAAAAGTATTTGAGTAGTATTTATTTATAGAGAGAAATACTTTCACTGCATAAATTCTACCCTACATCTTCCCCTACTGCCACCCCACATATCATGAAAATCATGTTTCTAATTTTTAAAGACCATACTCAGTTTTTTAGATCTTTTATTAGTGAACATGGAAATGTGATTTAATCTGAGTCCAGTCAAGCTATTAAAAAAAATGTTTTGTTTTGTTTTTTATGTGACTATGTAAAATGTATTTTTTGCCTCAAGCTTTCTTATCAGCTGGTATATGTCTACCATATTTATATCAATTGTGAATGTGAGAGTTAGTTTTTAGGGCATCTGCTATATTATAGCTGTGTTAGAATTGCTATATGCTTGTTTTTAAAAGAAAATAGTTTGCCTACCAAAACTTATTTTGATTTTTGTTAGCATAAAAATAGAGCTACTTACCTTAAATTTTAATCAATATTCTTTTTTAAAATGTGATTCATGCTCAGGTTAGATGTCTTTGATATCGGATTTGTTGTCAGGTACTTCTCAATTTTTTGGAAAGGACCAGTTTTTTAATACTTTTATAAATACTGTAGCTTTTATTTTTTATTTTGTACTGGTTCGTTAACCTCAAGTATTATTTTTAATTTTTACCCTTTATTTAAAAATTCTTAATCATTTTTCATTGTGTGCATTGAAGGAGTTAAAATGAAGAATACTTATTTTTATCATAGAGAAAACATTACTTGTGCTCTCAAGTTTCTTAGCTCACTTTGTACAGAGGCTTGTAAGTTGTGCTGCCTAATAAAACATCTTTGTAAGACTTTGTCCATATTGCAACATATATTCCATATATTTGATATTTATGTTTATAACTTTCGGACTACTTTTAATACTTTGTGTATCTATAAATCTTTAATCTTCTTTCACAGATTCTTTTATTGCTTACTGGTGTCATTTACTGATGAGGTACTTTGTATTTTCTTGGGGACACTAAAGCCGTGCAACTAAAATTTTTTCATGTATAAAATATATCTTGGAGAACTTTACATTTGAAATTGTCCAGTTTCCAGGCATATGATTTATCCTTCGTTAACTTGCCTTAAACATTTTATAGGCATTTCCACTCCCTCTTTTCATATCTTTACCATTTTTACTTTAGCTTTGACTACATTTTGGTCTAGAAGGAAAGTTTTTAAACCCAGTTCTTTTCACATCGTTATTTACTCTTATAACAAAAGAATAGCTTTCTTCCCTCTCATTTTCTGTCAGACCCAACCTCTGAATGTTTCTGCTTAGACTCCCTGCTTTTTATTCTTTTTCTCCTTCTTCTTTTTTTTTTTTCAGTTCTTTTCACATCGTTATTTACTCTTATAACAAAAGAATAGCTTTCTTCCCTCTCATTTTCTGTCAGACCCAACCTCTGAATGTTTCTGCTTAGACTCCCTGCTTTTTATTCTTTTTCTCCTTCTTCTTCTTTTTTTTTTTTTTTTTTAGGGGCAGAGTAGAAGAAGGTGCTGGCTGCTAGTTTCTCTGCCTTTATTTTCATTCTTTCCCACCTAATCAAAAAATTTATATTCACTTAGAGGCATCTTTAAATTCTTTTTTCTTCGAAACATGTTGCCTTACCCTCCCCCTTCCCTAAAAAAAGTCCCCCTCATACCCTTGTTCTCCTAACATACATCCCTTGACGCTGCTATACTCTACTATTTCTTTGTTTGCTCATTCAACCAGTGAGGCCTCCCAGCTGTGCCAGCCACTAGTCTTATGGGGACTAGCTCTTAATCTTCCTTTAGCAGTTGAATTTCTTGAGCAATTTTCATCTCTTTACCTTTTTTTTACAATTGCTTATTTCTTTTCCCATCCTCCCGCTAAGTTTTCACTCACAAAGATCACTACTTATCCCTAATGGACAAATCCAACTCTTCATCCTCCTCCTTGATCTTCCTGCTTCACTTGACACTAACCACTGCCTTCTTGTGTCTTTGTAAAAGAAGCTAAAGTTACTGCGCCACATTACTTTGTTGCTTTATTTAGTATCTGAATATTTTACTATTTCTGTTTCTACTTTTCCCTCCTACTGGATATT